ATGACTATCATTGCCTCTTCTTTTCTTGGGATTAGGCTCATCAACAACACTTTCGGTTGGACTAGAAGCTGCTTCCTCCTCTTGAAGGTGGGAAGGGGGTTAGGTTCATCAACAACACTTTCTGCTGGACTGGAAGTGCTTTCCTCGTCTTGAATGTGGGAAGTGGGGTCCTCATCTTGTGCCTTCCTCTCCTTTAGCATCTTACAACATCTTTTCAAATAATTTTTTCTGCACTCCTTCTTGTGCTTTTCCATCTATTGAATAACAACTTCCATCAAAGACAATGATCGAAGAAGCCAGCATTATTTCATAGTAACTACAGAAAGCCCAACCAGTTCATTGATATGAGTAAGGGCATGGCATGACACAATCAGACTTGATAGGGCTGTAACCACTCAAACTGTTTCGTAATCAAAGTTTGTCAAACTCAATTGAACTCTCAACTGATTTTTTGGGTTGATTAGCGAACTTACCGGTAATTGAACCAATCAAACTTAATTGAATGTTCTAAACCAACACTTAAAATAGACAGGGCCTGGAGTTTGAAGAGCCCTTTTAGCGAGCAAAGTATCAGGAAAGCAGCAAAGAAATCACAAGGAAATCAGCAAATAATCTAAAAAGAATCGGGTGGGAGGAACAATAGGTTGACTATATCTTTAGTGTTCTTGTAAACATTTTTCCTCCAAAAAAAAAAATACAATTCGCTGATCTGCAACAACCAATTTTCCGAAATGTTCTTAGTCGGAAAGCATGGAAACCGTGGAAAAAGGAATCATTCAGTAAAACATGCATTTTTCCAGCATAACTTTCTATTTTTAATCAAATACTTCCCAACTTCGACCATTGAACCTAATCGAATTCAATCAAAGTTCCATTGGGTTTGATTACTAAGATTTTCTTGTGAGAGTTTGATTGTGTTCAATTAGCGATCTTAATTAAACCTTATTCTTTAATCAAGTTCCATTAAGTTTAATTTAATACTACGCTTTTCACAAACATGCGAATTCTGAAGTTCAAAAGCCAAATGATGATTGCGTTTTTCGCTGCTGTCAATCATCTTAATGGGACCTAATAGGAAACAAAACTTCACTCTAATGGGTTCAAAAGGTCGTGGTTTGAGATCTGTGATTGGTGAATTTCAATCCGTTTTGTGTTTCTGAGTTTCAAGGTTCGTTGCTTATGATTGTAATTGATTGACAGCAGCAAAAAACACAATTGTGAATGTGGCTTTTCAACTTTAGAGTTCGCATGTTTATGAAAAGCACTGTAAGTTTGACAAGTAAAACATTCAATTTGGTTTGAGTGGCTACTTTGCAATAAGGGGAGATGACACTGAGCTATGTGGAAGCTCATTAGAAGGGGCTAAAGTAAATAGGCAAACTACTTTTACTTCATTCCTTCCCATGACAACCTGCATTGCCTCAACTTAACCCCAATGAAACAATTCACATAAAACAACAACTGAGTAGGAGTCTTAGACACAGTGGAAGCTAATGGAACTTTATCCAAAAAAACAACCTCGTTCCCAGGTGCTTTTTCGTTTTCCAATGTGGCAGCAAGAGGCTGTATTGCATAGTGGCTAGATATTTCGTTATTCTGTAGTTTAAGTGAAAACTCAAAAAATCATTTACTGGCACAGGATGAAAGGATAATTTTGGGCTTTGGAACCCTTCATTTTTTAACAGACAATTATATCAACATGCGAGAATAATCATGAAAGGGTTTAGAGCCACATGTGGCCAAAATGGAATCCTTCAAAACAGCTTTTGTTTTTGTAAGCTTACCACCACGTTCAATTAAGCTTGTACAAATATTCTTTAAAATTTTCACAATTACAGATAACAAATTACATACCACTTTAACTCCTCCAGTAGCGCTCTCTTTGCAGTGTAGTGTGGATAAAATGATGCTTAGTCTGTTGAGTCATCTAGTTGGTCAGCGTTGTTTGAGAAAACTGCTGAAATCAGCTGCGGCCTCAGAAATATGAGTGCCGTAATTTTGACAAAGCAAACACTACAGTCGCGTGGGAGTTAAATGTGCAGTTACAATTTCGTTACAAATCTCTACAAGATAACTGATCCTTAAACGGCCTGCTTACTGCATCAGAAACCAACTACAAGGGATTAGAGGATCTTGCCCAAAATAACCAGCTGCAGCAAATAACATTACTGTTAAACTTTCAGAAGCACTGTTGGTGATTGAACAAACAGGGCAATCATAATGCAAACCTTGCATGAAATTGCAAGTTTGGTCAATGTACAAACGTTGGTTATAGTGGTCATGAAGATAATTCTTTGATCATTTTTTGCTTAAATTTACAACTCTAGTAACCAGACATTTGCACAGTAACTTTGCTATGCCAGCAAATATCAAGCAAACATTCATTTTGGACGTTTGATTTTTACATAGAGAACAAAATAGCAGCAAATTTGAATCTAAACACCAACTTTACTATTAGGAGCAAAAGTGAAACAAAATCTGGGTAAACTTGATATTTACTCCACATTTACGCCACCCTTGCAGAAAAAAAAAAACTTTCGCCTTTTCACTTTTGAACAAAATTTGCATCAAGAACAAATGAGTAGTAACATTAGTACTCTAAATTTACAACAAATTTGCTCAACTAGCAAACTTAGGCAAATCCGTTTTTTCGTCCAGTGTTGACAGGGTGTAAATTCCAGAATGTGTCTCTGTGAACCATTTTAGGTTTGTTTTACGATTCTCATTGTCTGAGGAGATAATCCTTCCAAACCAGATCTGTCCTCCAGGATATACAGGGACTGTCACAGCTTTCAGGGGAGGACCATGAAAGTCAATGGGAAAGTAGAAAGATGGGTTG